GTAGATATGCTGCTCTTGCTTTGATGATTCGCGTCATCACATCTGTATCACATCCACCGTATTCATCAACGATGCTGTCCAGATATGTGAAGGTTTTTACATTTTCCAAATCTTCTCCGTCAAATATGATTTATATGTACAGTCTAGGGAATTTTAAAACAATCCAGAATATATGAACCAGAATTACTGCATTGAATATAGTAAATTCATAAATAATTTATATTATATTAGGCATTAATATTGTTTTAATTATCAGTAGAAGAATGATAAACATTTAGTGGACACTTTAAATGTTTTAATTTTTGTTATATTTACTTATAGATTACTGTTTGACAATGTATAATATCTGGAACATAACAAAGGAAATTGTCATCAAGATTATGATAATTTTTTAAAGATTGCAATTACTTCTTAAAAGAATTACCGTCAGAAGATAACATAAGATAAATCGGTTTGGAGATCTATCAGAAACCGGAATCTTGATAATAAATTTAATACATAACATGAAAAATAAATATTAAACAGTGAAAGTACCATTATTTTAGGTTAACGCTATACTGTTTGTCATTTATTAAATTTATTGTATACCTAAATGTAGTTATTTTCAGTATAGACATGTACAGATTGTTGAATATTACCGAGATCTAGAAATTATGCGTACAAATTCGAAACTGAATGTTGTGAGTTAGATCTCAGATTACAGGTTTGTAAATGTACATTGCTAAGGAGTATCATCCTAGAACAAAATATCTGTCTAGTTTTTCCAATTTGTCAGTGTTTATCTAATTTGGATCAACTCAATAGAAACCATTTTCGTTTGGTTAACTCATAAATCAAAATATGCTTATCGTGATGTTAAGCTATGTAGTAGGTTAATTTAAATTAACTATCAGTTTTACTTTCGATGAGTTAACAATCACTTAAGTTAAACATTAAATATTATGCAAAATAACACTATAGTAATAAAATAAAAATGTTTCTTAAATTCAAGGAATTTAAAAACAAGTCATTCCGTAATAAGTTACTGTTTCCATGATATAAAACCATAAATTAAAACGCAAAACTATATCCTGTCATTCAATTTACTCAATAATCGAAATCTTTTAGAAATGTATAGTTTCCTATTCTTAGGAATCAATGCTGTACAGTATAATATCTTAGAAAAATAACATTTGAATTCGTCTTATAGTATTTCATATCGTTTTAATTAAGCAAATTACCAAGCTGAAGTAATAACTAACAAATAGTTTGATGAAAGGATCACTTTCCAAAAACGTCCATCTGAATATTAACTTTAAAATGAAACATAAAAGAAAAGATGACATCCATTTCCTCGATACTTGAAATTTCACATTTTTCGCCATGCAGGTTATACGTATGGATTGGTGGAAATACTCTACCACACAGATGGAAAGTTATGTTCAGTAGAAAGCCTCAAGAAGGAGTAGACTGTACAGAATAATTATTGCAAGAAAATGAATACCTTTAATCAATTTAAAAGACGTATTTCACCGAAGTAGGACAAAAATTACAAAATAAAAATACAAAACTACAATATGTTTTTATTTGAATGTCATTTAAAGGGGATTAAAGCAATGAATAAAAGTAAGTGAGAACTGAAAGAAAGTTTAAAAAGTACATTCCTTGCCTCGAAGTTGATTCTACTATACACCATATAACGCTGAATTATACAAGCTAAAGTAAATTAATATTGGTTATACTTCACGTTCAGCTGAATTTATCAATTAACATATACATCCAAAACATGTTTATTGAAAAAAAAAGATGGGTTTCAACTTGTTGTAAATGAGCATTTACCAAAATGCCTACGCATACGAAGAGAAATCTGCTTATGTAATTCAGTACCACGCCACTTATTATACACTTGACATAATGTGGATTTAATGAGTTAGTTCAAAGTTATCAATAAACACTTCTATCCTACATTATTAGGATTCTCAGAATCCATATCAATTAAAAGGTTTTAATCTGACCTATGGATTCAAAAACAATCGGTAGTTAATTTTCAACGTCCCTTAAAATACTCTGACTTCTTCTTCTAATAGGTTTTAATCATAAATTAAATGAGCTGAAGTCACAGATCCACTTTTACTCTTGAATTTTTGTTACATTATGTAATAAAATTGTCTTGACATTTTAAATCTATTTTGTAAGCGATTATAAAAAAACTCCCCTTTTCAAAACTTTAATTCATAATTTCTTTCTCATTATATAGAACTTATTCATTATAGAATGACAATTCATTTCTAACATTATGTTAACAATTGGTAATAATTACATATATTAAGAAGAATCAAAGATATACAATCGATTCACTGTATTCTGTAAATCTGGTCACTCTTAACTTATTTCTTAAAAAAAAACGTTTGTTGTCAAGCCATTCTACTGTGTATAACAATAAAATTATCACTATGGAAACAATATTTTCGCATTTGAATATGTTATAATCATTAGTTAAATAAATAATTATACATGTTTACATTTGATCAAACTATGTTTCATCCTTCGGTATATTCGACAGTATTTCTCAGTATAATGAATCATCGCATAAAAACAGTCATTAATTTGGTTGTTTTCGTTTTCTTTCTTTTTTTACTGTATTTTGAATTTCCTTCGCATCATAATTATTGAAAAGGTTACAAATTCAAATTAGCGTTACATATACTAAATAAATCATCAAGTTCATTTTGTCATCATTTTGATACATACTGATCATAGTTTTCTTTGGCACCAACTTTGTACAATTTCGATTTCCAATAATTCCATTTATTGATTAACATTTTCTAATTGTATTATGTTAATTTTTACATTGTCAGAATAGTATTACAGTTATTATACTACAAGATTGATTTGTTTTTCACGCTTAAAAAAACTTCTTCCAATCATAAAAAATCACAGTTTGTTTACCTAACGCTATTATAATCGCCCTTTTATATTAATATATATGAGTTACATATTGACGAAATTTACTGAAAAATATTTCACTGCATAACTATTCATGAGATGAGTTGTTATAAAGCCATATTCTAAAGCTTTATAAACTATGATAAACGCTCGTACAAGTTAGGGATATTAAATAAACCTTGACAGAATTGAGACAATATATAACAATCAGTTAATTTCCGATGAAGTGATAAGATCTATATCAACATAAAATGTAAAATAAAATTCGATGTCAAAGTAGTTGGATATTTTCTTTTGTATTAAACGAAGTAGTTATATTAACAATACAGAAGAAAAAGCATAGATAAATTTGGACATAAATGTCATGAATGATAATTGAAATAATGGTTCTTGTTTTAATCAGATTTAATCTATGTTTGGCGCCAATCTTCCGTATTTCACAAATGGTATTATTCTCTTGTATTATTGTTATTAGAGTATAAAAAGTGCAGTATATCATTAATTAGTGGGTTAGTATTTATCTATTTCACATATTTATTTTCATCATATTGGGATTCAATAAATATTTTCCTTTGATCACTTAACTGTAATAAAGATGAAAGGTTTTCGGTGTTCAGTATTATGTGATAAATGTTATCCTTATCCATAGGGAATTTCAATTTCTGTGTAAATAAACCATTTCAGTAATATTTTAATAAAAAAAATGAAATAGTTATATGTACTGAATGCTCATATATAAAAATAGTGAAACACATTTATCCAAGATTTAATGCACATACGTATATGATCCACACTTCTTGTATTTCCATACTTCAAATATTTAATTATGTTTCTATAATAAATTATGATTATCATATCTTCCTAGTAGAAGAAACGATATGATAGCCGCCACTCAGCACATAAACGTTCCATAAAGAATACTGATGAAAGTTATAAACTACTGTGGATGCAATTGCGTAAAAAAAGTGTCGTTTCTTACTCAAGACTAACATTTTATTGTTTAGAGTATTTTTTGATCTCATTATTTGATTTAATACACTTGATAGCCTTGTTATCCACACATTTTTGACAGATTGGTTGCATATCCATGTTTTACTGAATAATTAAGTTAAACACAATACTGATACTTAAATTGTGCTCACTAGTGACCAGCTTCGTTAGGAAATTCTCGGAGTTCTAGTGAGAAGCCGTGACCAGTGGAGCTAATCCGTGTCGGGTAGATACAGGTATGTACCCCAGTACAATGGAAGATGGTCGCGCGAGACTGAAGGCCCTTGGTTCGAATTCCGCCAGCGGGATCGCAGATCGCACTGCTGAGGAGTCCCACAATAGGACGAAACGGCCGTCCAATGCTTCCAGGTTTCCAACGGTGGTCTAACATCAGTCGGTTTATGATCTCAATCAATAAACACAACCTAGTTATAAAATATGATAGCTTGAAACCAACATGAAGAAAACAACTACGAACATCACTGTAAACCATCCTCAGTCTTCAATCCATCTACTATCAAAAATACCTCCAAAAGATATTTCCAATGTAATCCAAGCCGATGAAATTCAATTTTCAGAATGAGTAAAGAATGAAATTGAAAGTTTATTATAAATTATTTCCTTAAACAAAATGAATGTATGAACAAGGAATTGATTTACTAGTTCCGTATAATTCTTAGTTCTTTAATCATCAATAGATTGATAAATAGTGATACGAGATGTAGGTTCATTCATCTTGACATTATCTAGAGTCTACTTCAACCAGTCTTGATATTGATTTTGATAAGTTTATTTTATATTCTACTTAAGATTTATTAAATAAATACAAAAAAGTTTATTCTATGATTTGAATATAAAACGAACTATTAATCTAAATTTTTTGTTTTATATTCTTCTGAATGAATTTAAAATAAAACATAACAATGATAAGAAACCAAATGCCGGTAACATTTACATAAGAATGATTAATTTATATGGATTATAGTAATAAATATACAGTCGTTTACAAACCCAATAATAATAATATATGAATATATTCCTAAATAAGAATCTTAACTTCTGTTTTTTTTTTAATTTTTCATTAGTTATATATCGTCACATATTTCTCTTTCTCTAATACTCAATGAATCTTCATTGATATTTTCACATTGTGAATTTTCAATACAAGCTTTATTATTATTATTATTATCGGTATATTGATGTTGTTTATTATTACGTAATGAATGATAATGACAATGTGAATTATCTTTATGCTGAAAAGAATTGTCTCTACGTGAATAATAAGTATCTTGACGATAATTATTCCAATTAAATGAATTTGTTGGTTTTAATTGTGTAATTTTTGAATTATTATCATTATTATTATATGAGATTGGATGAAATTCTGATTGGTGCATAGCAACTGAATTTAATAGAATACGATTACTATTGTTATTATTATTGTTACCAATATTGATATTATTATTACTAATATTCCAAGGACATAAACAAATAAACATTCGATTTAAATAATCACGAAAACCTGGTAAACCAATTGCATAAATCATTATATTAATAATAGAATCAAATGTTAATAATAGGTCCGCAACTAATTTAGCTAACTGAAATTCAATTTTTAAATTAGTATAATGTTGTACAATAACTAAAATAAAACTAGGTGTTTGAAAGCATAGAAATGAAATAGCTAAAAATAATATAGTTCTAGTAGCTTTCATTTGATGTCTTCGACGTACATTTGTTACTTCAATAATTTTAGTATCACGCCATGGTGAAACATAAAATGATATAATAAATGACATAATTAAAACAATTAATGTCGGTGCAATAACTTGGAATATGAAAAAACAATATGCTTCATAGTTAATAATGATATATTGAGCTAATAAAGCATCAATATATGTTACAGGGTTTGTTTTTTGATTAAAATCATTAGATAAATCTAAGGTATTTGTATGTAATAGTGATGTTTCACTCGATTGTATAATTAAACTATTCATTTGATTATTTGATGGATTACAAATAATTGCATAATCATAAAATGCACGTACAATAGCAAGAAATCCAGATAGAATCCATAAAAATCCATAAATAAATTTTATTGAAGAATGTGAAAGTATACGTCGTTTACGCATCGGATACACAACTACCTCTGTACGAGCTGAAGTAATTAATACATTACACCAATTACGTGTACATAAAGAACAATCAGAACCCCAATTGATAAGAGCAAATAATATAAATTCTGTAGGACTTATCATTCGTGGATTTGATGAACATATAAGCTGTGTAGTATACTCTATACAAACAAAAAAATGAAATAGTACTTCAGTAGCTGATAAAACAAGTAAACTCGTTCTCATAACTGATTTTCTATGTTGTCTTGAAAATATTGAAATACATAATCCATTTAATATTAAAGCAATTATACTAAGTATTAATATTGGTAGAGAATATTCCAGTTTTATGATACCAGTAGTACTTATATTTCCACTACATGTACTATTGTATTCTATCCATAAAGTTCCATCAAGCATGATCTTGTGTTATAGATGTATATCTGTATGTTTTAATCTAATTGAAACTTACTACTAATACATTTGTAAATAATCAGTAAATATGAATAAGGCATTGAATGTTAACGATAAAAACTAGATAATGTAATCATAATTTTTCGAATCATCTTATTGGTTAAATTATTAACCAATCAAAACAAATTATGTAACATTATCAAGAATCCAGTTACAATTATACATTTTGTAATTAGCATTGAAAGAATTTCCAAAGTCAAAAAAAGAAATGAAATCTTGATAAAAGTATTTGATAAGTATTTGTTATGGTGAGAATAAGTAGTCAGGTTAATATAAATTTATATATTGTTATTCATTAATATCACATAACTGAAAAATTCGATAAAAAACATTTTTCTATAGTTGAGAGATCAACGTATTCACATATTCAATTCAAAATAGATAGATCATGACAGGGAAGAAATGCTTATAAGTGAACATTTTTAAATGTTATTGTATCATTTATCCAAACAGTCGCCTATATTCATCTCTTTTTATTTCGAATAAAATAACCTGATGTAGTTAACTGCTATCTTCTAACAGAACTATTTATATTTCTTTCAAAGAAATATTAGTAGAATATAATCTCATGACATAAAGAGATTAATCAATCTAAACAAAGTTATTTAATGCTGAAAGTTATAAGTAATATATTTGTTTATATGAAATTAAAATTAGTCTTTCGATATGCATATATATGTATATACATATAATTAAGGTTCTACTTCTCCTCTGTAGACTTAAACATGGTGTACTAACGAACCTAAGCTGCAAGCCATAATCTTTAGATTTTTGTAGGCTTTTTATGATTTGCATGTGGAATCGTAAATACTGACTGAATCTAAGTAAAGTCTTTTCCATTATTTAGTTAAGTTAGGCATTTTTATTAATTTCATGTTTGAACATGATGCATTCTATGCATACTACAATATTTAAAACTTTTTATTCGTATACTTATTAACTATCTACTTTAATTGTATTGGTTTTTTCAGTAGTCACATGGTTCATTGCTTTCTAGACACTTGAAACGATAACTTTTCTAATTTGTAGGATTCAACAAACTATTACAGTTTTTCATAGATATTCTTTCTGAAAATCCATAATGGTTTTATTTTCATTTAAAATTATCCTTAAATAAACTTCTATTGCGTTTTATGACATCGTTGAAGCCTCTTACTGATTTCTGATGCTTAGTTCTATGAATAATTTAGAGCAAACTAAAATCACTTTGAGTTCAATTGTGTTAAAATTTTATGATCAACATAGATCTCTTAAAGTAATTCACTTTTAATTTTCTTTAATACTAATATTTCACATAATTGAAAGCAAAAACTAAGTGACCTTTTATCAGTTGTTCCGAAAGATAATCTGATCATTTCATTTCTTGATCAAAGAATATTCACAAAGATACTCATTTTCTTTATATTCATTTGTTAGTAAAAATGAAAGTAATTCATTCACTTACAATTGTTAATCATTTCGATTTATGACTGATAGACAAGCCTGAAATAGATAAACATGAATTTCGTTGTAAATAATGTCAAAATATGAACTAACTACTCAATTTATGTTTATGTTTATCGGATTTGTAGCCTAAAATATAAAGGATGTCAAGAATGAAAATATAATTGTAAGTTTGAAATTAAATATTCTCGGAGTTTCATAAAATCATCTGATCAGCTTAAAGGGTATGATCAAAATTAGAGTTATGAAAGTTGGGTTTTGTCATAACTTATCAATCATTTTCATATGTTAAATTTGGTTTATAATGTGGTTGTGGGTAATTTAATATATAAGATGTTGAAATAAAATTGTATGTAATAAAAATGAGATCCACTCTCTATTTCTACTGATTTTAATGCTATTCTTGATACATTTTCTCAATCTTTCTGAAGTCATTCAAAGATATTTTAGTGTTTTATGTAGAGTTTTACATAAACAAATTAGTCTAATCTTATTTTAGTGAACTCGAGAATTCAATGAGAAGATACAAGCAAACAACACAAAGTGAATTCAAACTGCACCAAATCGTACTAGCAAGTGGATATCAGGACTCAGTGGTTAAGTGGAGAACGCGATGGCTTTTGAAGCTGGCGGTAATGGGTTCGTGTTCCGAAGTGGATATCAACTCTGAGATGCGGGTAAATCCAGCTGATGAGTCTCAAATATGACGAGACGCGTATCCTGTATTCCACTTCGCTTATTAACAATTTTATTTTAAAAACAATCTTAAGTTTGTATTCTGTAATTTTAAACGATATATTTGCTTAAAACTTGGTCATATTTTTAGATTATTAGTATGGATTTATAATCGTAAAATATAAAAATAGTTGACTTCATGAATCGATGTAAACTAGACCACCCTTGAAAATCTGGAAGTACTGGGTGGCCGTTTCGTTCTAGTACGGTACCCTTCGGCAGGACGCATCCACGATTCCGCATGTGGGAATTTCACTAATGACTGGATTTTCTGGATTTCTAGTAAGAAGCCATGACCAATGGATTCTAATCCGTGTCGGGTAGGGACAGTTATATGTCTCAGACAATGAATGAATGGTTATGCAAGATCGTGGATCGACTGAAGTTAGACATTAACACCACTAAATTCTGTCCAACTCAGTGTTCGACAGATTAAGCGTCTGCGAGCAGGACCGAAGTTCCTGAGTTCGAGTCTCATGAGCAGAATAGTGGATACGCACTTCTGAGAAGTCCCATACTAGGACAAAATGGTCATCCAGTGCATCCAGATTTTCAATGATGGTTTAGCTTGCATCGATTCATGAATTTAACTTTACTCTACAAACCCCTATCAAAAATTTATTAAACAGGATAGAGTAATGTGTCGAATTTCATTTTCATCCTCTCATTCTCAAATCAAACTATCCGGTTGTCTTGCCTACATATACAACATTCCAGTCTGTATGTTTTATCTCTCAGTGATGATTTTATTGCCCCTCCCTCTCGATTACATTCTTGACATTCACTAATGTAAAACGAGAATATTGAAAATGCCAAGTATCGATTTAAGTGTTTAAATAGTAACAATAAAGAAACGTCTTGCTAAGAAATAAAATTTAATTCGAATAGTTACATTTGATCATATTTTCCAATATTCTTAATTATTCATTCATGTTCTATTACACTATCAACAGATTACATTTAGCCGCACTGATACGTTTTAAGTTCAGAAATCTTTTTATGAGATTAGCAGCATTTTTACCGTATGAAAATTGAATAATTTAAAAGCAAATTAAATTTCTTCAAACTGACTGACAGTAAACTGTTTTAATTCGAAGGCTGTAAAATCACGTCAGACATAAATATATTAAATTTCCTTGTCTATTTGTAATTGATTAAATGGCGGAGAGAAACAAAAATATTATCATAAGTGGAAAAAGTTTCCTACCTGGATTTCATAAATCAAATAGGCAGTGAGCTATACTTTAAGCATTACACAAAAGAATATAATCATAGTCTTTGGTAAATAAGTATGCATTAGTACTAACATATCATCTGTTGTAATTGATAGTACATTCTCATAGTTTGAAAGACAAATTAAATTTTATTTTAAATAAAAGTATAGGGTTGTGGATATTGTTGAATTTCATTGAAATCACAAAACAATTTGAATTAAAGCACTACTTAAAACCTGGAGGCACTGGACGGCCATTTTGTACTAGTGTAGGGCTTCTCATGGGTATGCAGACACAACTCCGTATACGGGAATCTAACCCAGGACCTTCGGCCTTACGCACGAACAACCCATATACTACTGAGCCGGCATCTAACGGTGTTAATGCCTAACTTCAATCAATTCACTACACTGCTCGACCGTATTTCATTGTCTTTGTTGGATAACTGCCTCACAGTCGATAAGGTTCAAATCCAAAACAGAAGATTCAATTTCCGCATACAGGTTCGTAGATATGCACTACTGAACAGTCTTATATTAGGAGGAAATGGCTATTCAGTAATTACAGATTTTCAATGGTTATCTAACTTAGATTGGTTCAAGATTTCAATAATATAATAAACGATTTTATAACCAATGTAAATTTTCGAAATATCCCATAAAGGTCAAATATAATACGAAAGCCTGTCAGTTCTTGACTTACCGATAACATTTTTCTAACTAGATGACAACATAATCATACCCGTGTATTTTTACTACCCATACATTGGTAGCTAGCTGTTATGATTACATTAGAGACAGAAAAATTAACAAGTGTGAAGCAGTTGAGTAATTACCATTAGAATCGTTTACACTCACAGTTAAAAATGACCCATAACCATACAAAATTTTCTCTCTATTTTCTCAACATCAGGATGATAATAATAATAATTATTATTATTATTATTATATCTATGGCATTAAATCAATATCTGTTTATTTTAACATACAAGAAGACAATTATTTCCTATTTCGCTTTTTCATTTGACTTGATTATTTAAATTACTGAATATTTTTTTTCATTCTACTGGTCACTTGATGTCTGTTTGTTTACTCGTTCATTTCTTTTTTTTTGTTTTGTTTATTTCTCAATACAAGCAACAAATAAATAATAAAATAAAAATTATTTTTGTTTGCTTATTTATCTTCTTTAATAAAAATGAATATTTATTTTTAACAGTTATAATAATAATATGGATAATGAATGTAGTTAGGACCTACGGAAAACAATTTTGAAAATGGCAAACAAATTTACAGTAGAATATAATTACATTTTTCTATGTTAACAAGAAACAAAAAAAATACTTTCCATTTTTATATCTATTTGTAAATAATTTTATTCAAAATTTTGTTTTAGAAACGTATATACAATAACAACTATTTGATAGATAGATAGATAGGTAGGTAGATAAGTAGATAGATACATAGGTAGATAAGTAGATAGATAGATAGATTTACATTTCAACATACTTGGAACTAAAATCCCATAAGCTGTAATTATTACAATGAGATTAAG